AACTCCATAAAGAATGTGTTTGGGTGCCTCACGAACTCTCTGATGATCATTGTTTCCAATGTATGAATGTTGCTTCATTTCTTCTGGCATATAATGCACATGAACCATTTTTTGATAGAATTGTCACTGGTGATGAAACTTGGATTCTCTATGTGAATATTCAATGCCAGAAACAATGGCTCAGTCCTAGACAAAAAACACTTTTGACCCAAAAACCTGGACTCCATCCACAGAAAGTGATGCTTTGCATTTGGTGAGACATCAAAGAAGTAATTCACTTTGAAATCCTCAATCCACAGCGAACTATCAATGCAAAGATCTATAGTTAGCAACTAGAACATTTAAATCAAGCCCTTAATCAGAAATGCCCTTCACTCAGCAATCAGAAAGGTGTTCTTCTTCTCCACGACAATGCACATCCACATGTGGCATGTTTGATGCAACACAAGATTATGGAGTTGGGTTGAGAAGTTCTCCCTCATTCACCATATTCTCCAGATATGGCACTATAAGATTACCATATTTTTCATTCGCTCCAACATAATCTTAATGGGAAAATGTATGCAAATGTGAAAGGAGTTAAAGAGGACATCAACATGTTTTTGCTTCAATGCCAAGCGATTTCTTTAATCAGGGCATTAACAACTTGATTGTAAGATGGAAAAGCATCATTGATAAGAATGGAGACTATTTCATTTACTAAATGTTTTGTTTTGATTTATAAGTTGTTCAGGTTTTTCGTGTAAAAAAAAATGGTGACATTAATTTCTTGATGACCTAATACAATTCCACCCTTGATACAGGAACTAAGTTCAGGGTGAAGAGCATACCTGCTTTGGATGTAGTGTGGTTCCCCCCACTCAGGTACCACTCTTATCTTGGTACAGCCATGATCTTTGCAGATGCTTTTTGTATGGATAATGCCCTCACTGACCCCTCCATGTTCTCAATGTAGGATTCTAGCTCTAAGTGGGAGTGGAAGTATGTATGTTTTGGAAGTTAACATTTTACTAAATTGAAAATGTTTTTCTGATCATACTTGCCCCTTCTCACACTCTCCTGCTCTTCCTCCCCACTAAGAGCCGGTGTTAGAGACTGGGATAGTGTTAGTCTCGAAAAAGTTATAAAATTATCTGAATGAGGTGCTTGTATACAGTACCAGGAGGGCACATTGACATAGATAGAGAATATCATGAAACATATGTCACCAAGGCAATTGAATGGGGTATAAAAGACTGGAGCAAGCGAGAAATAATCTGACCAGTGCTTAGATGGGCAAAGTGGAGGTAAGTATGATTGGAGATACATTTTCAGTTTAGGAAAATCTTAACTTTCATGATGATATTCATTATGAATTTTAATTCATTGCTGATCGTGGTACTTTACCCATGTAGGTTTACTAGCAAATTTGTCAAATATGTTTTCAATTTATCTGACACATAAAAATTTGTTTTTGTATTATTTCTTATTAGAAACTCTGAAATCACTTGTGGAAACTATAGTAGAATGTGAAGAACATGAATATCATGATGAGGACATAGAAGAAGAAGAAAATGTGCCTCAGGAAGCTGTATTTCAGACAATACCTGGAAGTCTTGCTGAGGAAGATGCATTTAGAGAAACTAGATTAAAAAACAAGTTTAATTTCTATGAACGAGCTGCACAAACTTACAACAATCCTTACAGGGTAAATCTTCAGTTTTAGTGTTTAACATTAAAATTGACTTGCATTCTGTTGAATTAATGAAATATACAATGTATATAAGATTAACATTCTAATATTTTATCATAATGTTATTTATTTGACTGTATGTGTAATGGACATTTATACACAATTTTCTACTTAGTTGATTAAAAATCTGATAAGTTTTAAAATATATTTATTAACCCATTAACTGCGGATGACGTATATTTCCATCATTGAAGTTCTATGGCTCAGCTGCGAATGACGGAAATAACCGTCAGTCGCACATATATAACTATAACTCTATGCGAGTGACGAAAATTTCCGTTTTATTGTGATTGATGGCAACTCAGTTTTATCTGCGAGTCAGGGTATCAGATTGGCACTCCTACCTCCAAGCAATCAGTGCTCAAAAGCTATTTAGTTGGAGAGGGTCATTTCAAATTTTTTCTCCTACCTTGAAATGGCAAAACGGGTTATTGTTGATGAAGAGCTTTGCCAATACCTTTGTGAAAGCAACAAATCAAGATTAGATATATCCTCTGATAGTGAAGAAGAATTTACTAATGAAGTCACAATTGATGATTTATCCGATAATGAACAAAAGAATGTACCAAGTACTTCGCAAATAGAGTGGTCACTCATCGGAAGCAAAAGAAATTTTTTTACTTTTAGTGGAGATTCGGGTGTCAAAATAAAGGAAACCAATCCTGATAATGTTTTGGAGATTTTTTAATCTATTCAAAATGGTGCAATAATACTGAAAATCGTCTCAGAAACTAATGTGTATGCTAATGAAATTTGCTATTTTTCTTATTCTGTGGTCTGAAAGAGACCTTGAAGTATTGATTACTTGGTAGGCTGTTGTAACAGCCCAGTTTAGGTTTTGATACTTGTTTGGTGTTTGAATTTCTGAAGTTTTAGTGCTCATTGATTCATCATTATTGTCTCCTGGCTGTTGATCCTACTTACTATTGTTTGCAAATCAAATATTCGTACTGAGGAGTTGTTTAGATGGTTGACTCAATCTTTGGGTGGAAAGAAGTTTTTTAGTCTGCCTTTGAATATGAAAACACAATTGAGTTTATTTTGCAAGTAGCTTTGTTAATCAGTTTAATGACTTTGTGTCTTATCATGAATGACATTCTTCCTAGATAGGCTATTACTAGGGCCATTTTTTTCGATATATTATAAGTCACTGTTGAAGCATGTTCTAAATTATTAGCATTTTTATTTGACCCCTTCAAACTCATGAATATTTTGTGAACACAGTGTATTCCTAAGTAACTACACTAGGGAATATACTAATTGTTTTATATTGAAATGACAAAGAATTTTTTTTTTTCTAGATAGATGAGCTCACTTGCTATCCATATCTAGAGTATTTCTAAGGTCACTAAATCATTGGAAATAATATCTTGAGTTATCAGTTAAGTTAAATCTTTAGTGCTGATTAATTATCAGAATAAAATGCATTATTCTTTGAGTTGTATACCTCAAAATGCTATATAAAATAGACTTATGCGATATTTTATTTTTGTATCAAAAACTTAGTCTAGTTGAAAGTTCTTGTAAAGTTAATAACCCAGCAAAAGTTGGGTTCTTTCCAGATTCAAAGAGAGAAAAGCAATATAGTTTTCCAATTTTGAAACAACCAAAATGTAATTGATGTTGCAGTGTTTATTTCATGTAAAGTTTCTTATATAAATAATAATATGATCAGTTAAAGATGTATATTTATAAGCTGTGTTGAGCAGCTCGTAATCTCTAACCTTTTGGGTTTTAAAATGCAATATACATTCTTCTTAATATTCATTTGTCATTTTATAATGTGTTATTTGCCTCCCATCTTTTATTTTCTTTTTGTTGTATTTATCTTGCATATAGGATTTTTTTCACAAACTTCCCCCCTAAAAATTTTTGATTATCTCATTTTGTTCATTGTAATATGAGTTGTTGACGTTTGTTCTGTTATAATAGAATCCATACAAAATATTGTATTAACTTTTAACAACACAGTAGTCTCCAAACTAATTACAATATTAGAAAAATAGTCTATTTATTTTATTTAAAAATTTCTTGACTGTTTTTTATTCATAAAGTTTTCATTAGTGCAATTTCTGTTCTGCTTTATTTTGGACCAGTGTTATGTATTACATATGTATAAATCGTATATAATTGAAAAATAATTGCTTTTTGTTTTGTCATTAGCATTTTAGGATGTTCAAGAAAAGCTGTTAGAAATTCCAGCAATTTCTAATTAAAATTCATTTTATATTACAGAAAATTAAAGTTGCTACAAAACAAATCTTTTAAATTAAAATTATGTAAGCTGAAACATTGAACATTAACTTTTCAACCATAGTGTTTTGATTACTGTTTACACGTGTAACGGTTAGTGTGTTTGAAGAATGGAATGAAGAAAGAAGGTCTACCCCTTCCAAGAAAGTCAAGTTAACATATTTCTTGTTTTTTGATTTAATAATTTATCATTTTTTTAGTATCATGCTTGTTTACCTTGTGCTTGTGCTCCCATATAGTATGTGAGGTAGTTGATTTCAACAGATAATTGTCTTTGCTGTAACAGGAGAGAGGCTTCCAGACTCAAACACCACCACGAATCACATTCTCTACCAATGTTACTCAGTGGGAAATCTATGATTCATATCAAGCTGACTTTGAAAAACAGGTACAAAATGTTTTGTTTGAGCAGTTCCCTTCTTCATAAGTATTCTTATTACAAGCCAAGACTTAAGTAATTTACATCCTGATGTTTTAGTATTTTAATAGGTGTAAAAAATTTAAATTGTAAAATTCTATCTGATGCATTTAGTTTTTTTTTCAAAGATGAGCTTGTTTCTCTCGAAAAACTGCCTTCCCATTATCTGGTCAAAAAAAGAACATTTAGGAATTTTGTATTTAATAAACCAGTTTGAGAAAACTTTGCTATTTTTTAAATCTGAAACATTTTATTATTGCTTTTATACCATATATTTCTTCAATAAAAAAATAGTGTCTTTAACATTTCCTCAAGTTATTCCTCAAGTTTTTAGGATACTGAGTAACATAATAATGCTATTACAGGAAAAGGCCAAAGAAAAAAAATCTGGAACACAAGTTACTAAAAAAGATGAAGAGAAAGTAAAGAAAGAGTCATTAAATACTGATATTCAGGTTTGTAAATCTGATTGTATCATAGAATATACATAAGGTTTTGTAATGTAATGAACAAATTGAAATAAAACTGGTTAGATCATTTTCATAAATAAAAGTTACAAATATCATGTTCAGTATGGTGCATATAAATACATGACTGTAGAGAGCCTAGAATATTTTTATTTGTTGCAATATTTGGATAATAATGTCAGAAATTCAAGAGAATAAAGCACATTTCTATCCCTTAGAAATAATTATTTTGAACAGAAATAATATAATTATATATAATCTTATTTCAAATAGGTAATCTTAACTTGATTTAAACGTGATTTTTCTGTACATGTTAGAATAATTCTACACACACCCAAATGCTGCGTAGTTATACAGCATACTTAAGATGGTTGATTTATTTTGATTTTTATCAACTTACTTGTAGCTGTGTGTATGTGTCACATATTTAATATATTGCATCTATCGTGGGTACGAGAGAGCATTGTTGGGAGTGGCAAGAGTGGACTCGTCTTTCTTTAGTGATTGGTGCCCAGTGACCTAATACTGGACGTCAAATCACTAAAAGGTTACCTGTGTATACAATTTCTCATCCTGTCTAGTCTGTCTTGAACAAACATCTTTTCGAACAGATTACAATTGTTGATACATTTACATCCATGAACACATTTGTTTACACTTACATAACTGTTACATGAGAAGCCTCTCAATTCACACTGATATGCAGATGATGTTTAATACAATGTGAGTTGTTTTTGACAGGTGTGTTCAACGTTTGCCTTTCGTTAGCATTCCAAAACTAATATTTTGCAACACGTCCGCAAGTCTAAAGCTTAGCTCATATGAAAGATTAGTCCAAGCATGTGTTTGTTTTAAAGGGGCAGTTTAGCTCGTGAGAAAGCTTAGTTGAAGCATTTGTTTATTTTCAAGTGCTTCAATATCTTATGCAGTATTCTTATGCAGTATTGAATATTGATAGTTTTAATGTATATATATATATATATATATATATATACATATACATATATATAATATATATTGTATAATTTATTAGAAAGTTAGGTTTAACGTCCTTGCTTAGTTTTACTTAGTTTCTTTTAGTTTTTTAATTTACTTAGTA